AGACGCAGTCATCTTATTCCTTTCCATTTTGTTATTTCAGAAATGTAGCCAGCTTTGTAAAGATGTGTGTATAGTTGCATTCAGGGGAGACAGGGTACTTGACAGCAGTCTGTATATGCAATAGTAATAACTTGTTATTAAAAACAAGGTTTTTTAAAGCTTAATATTTGGAATTTTAGAAGTTTGTTAAGCATTAAATGCACATTTACCTCACTCTTTTTTAAGCCTGTCATAAAAACAATCCCTTATAAACACCCACATAAAGAAAATAGTAATGTCAGTTTTTTCCCAAGAACATAATTTTATAGTTACTGAAGTATAATATAGTAAGATTAATTTTTATTGGTTTCTTTACATTCCCTGGGGTTGGTTTGGAAACATAACAGCGTCTAGATTGATTTCCAACTTTGCTATAGATGGATAGCTTCATCTGCAGGAAGGGAAGGACTTTTTTCTTCCTTTTGAAGAGGATCCATTCTGTTGTTTCTCATGGAATTATGCTTCTTTCCATGGAGAGCAGGTTATGAAACTGTTTGATGAACACGTATGGAGCATAGAAATTAGGATTGTTTCATCTGTCCTACTTCCGTAGTAGTACTTCTAAGAGGACCTCTCGAAGCATGTGGAAGTTGTATGTCCTGCACATAGCCCAGCAAAAAAAGTTGGACTATTAGGGCCTGGTTGGGAAAGGTGTTTATTCCTTTATTTTTAAATTTTGTATTTTTATTTCTTTTTATTAGGGGTTGACAAAGTACAACCTCTAGGCCTCTGTGGCCCACAAGCCACAACTGGTTTTCACATTTTTAAGTGGGTTAAAAACAATCAAAAGAAGGATAATTTTGTGACACATGAACGTTTTATGAAATTTAAATTTCAGTGTCCATAAAGAAAGCTTTATTAGAATATAATTAGACCCATTCGTTCACATGTTGGCTGTGGTTGCTTTCTAGCTACAACTGCAGAGTGGAGTAATTGCAATAGAGATTGTGTGGTCCATAAAGCCTAAAAATATTTACCATCTGGCCCTTTTACAGAAAAGTTTGCCAACGGTTGCCCTGTTTTACTCACATAAAAGTAGTTATTTATAGCAAACAGGTTTTAAAAAAAATACCATGCTTTTGTTTGTAAATGTAACGTCAGAGTAACCTACCCTAGTGACTCTTTTAGTTGTAGCATTCTTTTGATTTTGCTATAATCTCATTTTTCTCTTCTACTTTAAATGCTCTGGGGATAAAAATTGAATTTTTTTACATTCTGTTCTTGAGCTGGTCTGTATTAGTCTGAGTTCTATAGAAAAATAGAGCCAATTATATATATGTGTGTGTGTGTATATATAGATACAGCTCTAGATATATAGGCATATATTCTTTATACATATGGAGATAGCTTTATTTGTATACAGGTATATGATTTTTGTGTGTGGTGTGTGTATACATGTATATGTGTATGTTTGTTTTAAGGAATTGCCTCATGAGGTTATGAAAGGTGGGAAGTCCAAGATCTGACAAGCTGGCAAGCTCTGACAGTCCAGGAGAATGAATGGTATAGTCTGGTCTGAGTCTGAAGGCATTGTCTCAGTTTAAAGATAGGCAAAGAAGGCGAATTCTCCCTTACTTATTAGAATCCCTTATTAGAATCATGGGAACTTTCTAAGTTGGTTCAGTTAAAATTGTCATTTGTCCAGCACTGAGTTGAAGTTGTATTGAATTGAATGATAATTTCTCTATTTGTAGAGGATAACTTCTTGTATTTTCCTCTGGTTTAATTAAGTGCTGTTTGTTAAGTATGTACGTCAAAGGGTGTATTTGTACGTTTCATTTTCTTGTATCATTTCCATTTCAAGCAGGGGTTCTAATACACAAGCTTAGTCATTTTGACATACTGTTAAATTGCTGGAGTGGATAGTCTGCAGCAATTCCCAAAGCAGTTTGCAAAAGCCAAGTTGATTGGCATGACATTTTGTCAACAAGCCTCTTATATTAGAGTGTGTCAGCGAACAGCTGGAGTGAAAAGGAAGTGGATTTGTTTGTAGTGTGAGCTTCTTACTTACCCTTCATGTGACCCTTGCAAAATCCCCTGATCTCATCTATGCTGCTGTTTTAATACCCCCAGCAACTAGAGGCTGGTGGGAAGATTACATAAAATAAGGATGTGTGTGAATTGAACTGACATATAAGTATGTATTCATACTTGGTTTATGTTAACTGGCAAGACATCCCCCTCCTGGTAAATAATTTTTTTATGACGAATTTTATCAGTATAGAATGGTGTTTCTGTGGTATACGTGATTTAGTCCACTTCTCAAGGAAATAATGGAAGTATCACTTGACCTTCGATTTCACTCTGTTGTTCCTGAAGTTAATTGATTCTGGAACAATGACTCCTTATTCACATAGTAGCTTGATTTCTACCTGAGTAACAAAACTTCACCAAATTAGAGTAGATAGTGGGGCCAAAGGAATGTTTAAATTGTAAACCATGTAAAGAAGTTTAGTACGTCCCCCTGAGGCCCTAGTTCAGGCGCTCTTTCCAGCTTAGTGTTTCATTGCCCAGGGGCATCATGGTGGCTGTCCTTGCTGTTGAATCTTAGGTGATTATGAACCCTACATATTAGCAACTGGATTTGGTTCAGTGACATATATTTATCAAAAACACTAAAACAAATTTTGGCCTATGTAACACATTTTGGAGCAAATGTATAAATGTACTATCCAAGTTGAGTTTTGGGTTTTGTTTTTTTTTTCCATCCTAAAAATATCCTTCTATGACTCATTTTCTGGTTTGGGTAAGTGGCTCTAATATCTATATTTCTACCTTTTAATGAACATACTTATATATAAGCCCTTTCACCTGTTGCCTCTAGATTTAGAGTTCTGAATTTCTAGCAAAGGCCTTTTTCTCCCTTTACTGTTGTGTTCCTTTTCTCTGGACCTGTTCAATCCTTTTTAAATTATTGATGGTTTTCAGCCCGAAGTTTCTATTAAGTTTTTGCTTCCCTCCTCCCTGTAAGATTATTGTATGTAAATATTTTCTTTGCTTTTACATATCCCCTCTAAGAAGATAAATAGGAATGATTTAGAATTAGCACATTATCATCATACATAGATGCTCCTTGATTTGCTCTCAAATATGTTCAATACTCCTATGCTGATTTAGGTTCTTCAATCATTAATTTGCTCTTAAGGAAATTAACTGAGGCATGTTATGACTGGGATTTAATTTGATGAGATTTTAATTTAGAAATTTTACTAAATGTGAATTATCTGAGAAATTTTAACTGAGAACAGTTGTATTCAGCTAGACAATCATCATTGCTTATATTGTGGTCTTAGGGATGAGTTTAGACCCAGGCTTGTTGGGAGATACAAATAGGTGGCGGGTACATGCAGCAGCCACCATAAGGTGTGGCCTGAGCAGACCATGGAAACAGTGAGATAGAACATAAAGTACCTGGTGTGTAACTTCTTATCACACTTTCAAAGAAATTTTCCTAGGTCACACTCAGGTAAGAGTGAAGTTATTCTGGAATGTTAGCTGGCAGCAAAAGCATGTATGTGTTGTGAAAGCTGAGTTCAATTTTGCCAGAAGCCAACAGAGGATTTATAACCAGTTGGGGTTTTCATTTAAAAAGCTGAGGGTTTTTTTTTCTGCTTTTATGTGATGGTTTGTACATACTTCAGTACCTTGTTTCCTTTTAGTATTTTCCTAGCCTGTGGCTAAGTAGTTAAAATAGATATATAACATTGACTTTTTCTATTACGTGGAAGGTGTTCAGATAATTAACAAAGGAAATCAGTAACGCACAACTCAGTTTAAGTGTCATTTTTTCTTTATGGTATGTTGTGCAGAAGAAAGAGAGCTAGCCTAAGAGCATTGGACTTCTGGGTGCTGTCCAGACTCCCCCGCCCCCCAGAGCCCCCCGGAAGCCCACCTGCCTAGTCCAGTGAATAAAAAAAGTGCATGTCTCACTACTTTTCAGTGTCCTTCAGGGATGTGCCATTATTATTATTTTCTTGACACATTCTGTGAACTGCTAGATCAGGCAACAATATTGAAACATAAATATCAAAATACAATCTAAAATAGAGAGATATGTACTCCTGGCAAATGTGATTCATCCATCAAAATTTCCTTTTGAATTCCATTCCTTTACAATAGATTGAGTTGACTGTGGAGGCTCTCCAGCTAAACTTGAAGATGGCTTTCTTATCAAACTTACTTATTTTTTCATTTTCTTTTCAAAATGTCACCTATCTTGAGTTATTTCTTAGGAGGAAAACACCCATGCACATACAGATTTTTTTTTCCAGCATCCGTTTCTTGTTGATATTACAGTAATATCAAAGAACAGTTGATCCATTTGATTACTCTGTCGATCATGATAATTGCTGGGATATTTACAATTGCAATTCTGTACTTCTTAACATATTATTTTACAAACTTAAATTGAAAAACATGAAGAGGTCCCTGGTATTGAAATAGGAAGCCCTTGCTGTAAATGCTTATGGTAGTGGCACTTGTGTCATATCAAAACTGAAGCGGCATCATGTACTGGAGTGAGCCAGCTGACCTGAATTCTAGCCCCATGTCCACAAATAATTTGTTCCACAACTGGATAAGCAGCGTAACCTCTTTGGACATCATCTGCAAACTGAAGGTTTGGAGCTGAATATCAAAAGTTACTTATAGATGCATAATCCATGAGAATAAGAAGGCGTTCTCTTCTATTCACAAGCTTGATAACACACTTTTACTCTTTGGTCGTTCATTTAGAGAGCTGAGAACACAGAAGGATAGGACAGACCCTCCTTGAGGTCTTATGGTCCAGTGGAAGGAGACAGGCCCAGTGATGAGATTTTTTTTTTTTAAATGCCAATGTTGGCATAGTACTTAGAAATGTCATAAAATTTACTAGTTTATATGCCCCATTTCAAACTCAATCTAAGGAGGAATGTTTGTTCTAGAGCTAATGATACTTGCTTTTTGTTTTGATTTTTTAGGAGCATATTAATGAAAAGTGCCATAGACTGAAAAACCAAACATGAGGGTAGCAGGTAAGATATTTAATTTAGTAGAAGTAATTGTACTTTTTGTGTAACCTGTTTGTTAAAGAATGACTGAAGGAGAGGTTAAATAATCTTTCTTGATATTGAGAAAGTTAAGCTGAAATATAATAAACTAAATCATCCAGCCCTTCATTTTTAGGTAGTTGGCAGATCACAAATTGGACATTTAGTCAATATTACGTAAGTGTTTTGTTGTTGTTGTTCATGTCTTTTGTTGAAATTACACGTTGAGCATCTTAAATCTGAAAATCTGAAATGCTCCTAAATCCAAAACTTTATGAGCAGCAAAACATGATGCTCAAAGGAAATGCTCATTTGAGTATTTAGGGTTTCAGATTTTCAGGTTTGGGATGTTCAACTGGTAAGTATGATGCAAATATTCTGAAATCTGAAAAAAAAAAAATCCAAATACTATATATAACGCCCATATAAAGAATGGTTTGACAACCTAGGGAGGCTGATTTTTGTTTTTGCTATGTTCTAGCTTCTTGAGAAAAATGAGTTATAAAGTTTTAAAGTTTAAATGTCTCTCATGTATGTACTTAAGATGTGTGTGAAGGATTCGATAAAATACATGTTTTTGCTCAGTATTTGTTCAAGTTTAATCTACATAGGTGAGATTATGTGTAAGAACTTTAATCTGTTTATTAAGCAGCATATTGAGAAAATTGAAAAACACCATTGGATGTTCATATATTAAGGTAGTTATATTTAAATATTCTAAAAAGACACGTTTATAAATAACTGGAGGGGCTGATGACCTCTTCCTGTGTGTGTGGTAAAAATAAGTCTGTTTTTCCCCACCCTTCCCATCAACCAAAGCCCTAGAAGAAATGCATACTTTACATGGAAATTTCTACTAAGCTTGGTGCCCAACATAGGTAACTTGTAATTTCTCAAAATCAAGATTGTTTTTTTCTTAATTATCATCTCACCAGCAAACCAATTATTTTCCTAAAGGAGCATCTCTTAGAAATGCCTAAAGTCAAGCTGGGTGAACAAACCAGTCTTCATACCGTGGTCATAATTGTGTAGAATCAGGCGCAATTGATTAAACATCATGATTATTAAACATAACTGAGGGCTGTTACAAATGCTTTTGTAGAAACTTGAAAAACTGAATCTCTTATGAAATTATAAAGCATTTTTAAAAAAAGTAACTGTACAATTGTTGAAGAAAAATATTCTCAGAAACGAAGAGCTTGTTTGTGGTTTAAATAAATGTGTTGCAGTGTCTTTCTGTGTGCGTGTGTGTGCGTGTGTGTGTGGGGGGGGCGGGGGGGGTTGTTCTTTGAGTACAGCAGGACTTACTATTTATGATTTCATGTCTCCAGATGATTTTTAAAGTACATTATTTAAGCATGGCAATTTGAAATAAAGTAACTGTTTCTCACATAATTTTAAATTCATGTTATTTGAAATTAAGTTTGTCATTTAGTCCGTTTCTCTGATTCTGACGATTCCCGAGTTAATTGATGAGTAATTAATTATTCACTGCGTGCTTATTTTGTGTTTGGCACTGTTCCTAGTATAGGTCTTAAGGGAACTGCCTTGAATGAATGAATAAGGATAATTAGGTATTAGTTTATTGCTTTTAACTAATCTCTTCTAATTTTTTTTTTAATCTGATTGCTTTTAAATATTTTCATAGCCATTCTTCTTACAGTGAGGCATGAATGTCTGCCGTTTGTACTTTTTGGCCTGTGAAAAACTGGAACACACTCAGAATAGTGCCGTCTGTGACTAAGAGGAAGAGGGAATCTTATGGAAAACTAAGAATGGGAATTGTGGTTGGTATGGTTAGGCTCCATCAAGTCCAGAATGGGATGCTGGTTCTGGACTCAGGCCAGCTTTGGGGGCGATCTCTGTAACAGAAGTTCCAGAACTCTAACCCCATGGAGACTCTGCTAGTTTCTCCACTTCTAACTTTTGTCTCGCTTATGGCTTTTCTTTCCTCCTGGTTCCTCTGATGGTTCAGTATAAGTGAATAGGTCTTGGTTTAAGACTCAGTGTTGCTGCTGACTAGTTATGTGACCTTAGGCAAATGATGTACAATTTTAGCCCTGTTTTCCTTATTTGTGAAAGGAAAATAATGCCTTGAAACGCTATGCAAATGAGATTATACTTATAAAGCAATTAGTTCTACAGAAGACACTAAGTAAACAGTGTATGTGAGTATTATATATATATATATAAAATGTTTGTATATAGCTTTTTAAAAACTTTTAGGCTCAAGGGTACATGTACAGGTTTGTTATCTAGCTAAAATAAATTGAGTGTCACAGGGGTTTGGTGTACGGATTATTTCATCATCCAGGTAGTAAGCATAGTACCTGATAGGTAGTTTTTTGATCTTATCCTTTTCCCATCCTTCACCCTCAAGTAGTCCCCAGAGTCTGTTGTTCCCTTCTTTATGTTTATCTGTTCCCTTCTCAGTGTTTAGCTTTTGCTTATAAATGAGAACTTGTGCTATTTGGTTTTCTGTTCCTGTGTTAGTTTGCTTAGTGTAATGGCCTCCAGCTTCATCCATGCTGCTGTATATAGCTTTTTTTCATGTAACCTTACATTTAGCTTGGTGTAGAATTTAGAATATTTGTGTTATCGTCTTGGTGTTTTAATTTTTCAGTTTTGAGCAATGAAATGTTCATATGATTATTTTATGGGACAGGGAAAAGTTATCTCTGGTTACATGTGCCTTTGATTGCTAGAAAATAAGATGTTAAGACTATCATGTGACATGTAATTTTTGAGCTCTTGGTCTTAGTCTTAAATGATCAAGAAGGACTATGCCACCTGTTACCATTTATCTACTAGCAAACAATTGTTGATAGTGTTACTGTATACAGTGCACTCTGCTAGATCCTGGGGAGAAGAGTTCAAAGCCTAACAGAATTTTGCCCTCTTATGCACTAAAAATATAAGCAACTTGTAAGTTGCTCTTGAAAATAGGAAGCAGATTTTGGAGGGGACAAGGTAGAAAATGGAAAAGGGAGGCAGGGATTGATTAGTATTATAGTTAGACTTCCTCATTGCTCTTTCATTTCTACATTAATAGTGTTGCTTTTGGATTTTTTAAGACTTTATTATTTTTAGAGCAGTTTTAGGTTCACAGCTAATTTGAGAGGAAGACGCAGAGATTTTCTACATACTCCCTGCCCCGCTCCCCACATAGTCATCAGTAGAGTGTTTCTAAACAGAAATGAGTAGGCTGTGAGAAGCGGTGGCTTTCTGAGCATCATAACTTCATTGAAGAGTCTGCCCACTTGGAGCTTTCCATGTAACCGTGTTATGAAGCATATGTGATAGATACCAAATTATATCCTGCAGGAATGGAGAAGGCCTGTCTTAAGGTACTAAGGTGTTAAGTATGAAGAGGAAGGCTTTGTTGATCAGCATACCAGGAGAGCCTACATAGCTCCAGGAGATGTGTTGGTTAGTGATAGGACAATAAATCTGTAACATGTCACTCGAGAATTCCTTGCTTAGTGGACATTGTGACCTTAGCATCCCCAGAAGGTCCACTGTTTTTGAAAAATCCTATATAGTATTGCTCCTTATTTTTGTGAAGGATAAGGAATCTGCCATTCAACAAACTTGGTGATGTTCCATTAGTCATGACACATTTTTGTTGTCAGCAACTAGTAGGTAATTTTTTTGCATGTAAAAGTAGGCAGATGGTTCAAGCAGTCCTTTGTCTAGATAGCTAGAACATCTGAGAATTCTTTGGTCAGGAAAATTCTTTCTCTTGATGAATTGTTTTATAATTTTTGTGTAGCTCATGTAAAATTAAGATCTAATAGATACAAAGTAGAAATTTATTAACCTTAAAAAAATTTATAAACATTTTTCATAGAAATGCAGAATAAATGTTCTGTGGGCTTACAAAGTTATGCTGAAATATTTCTGCCTTTTAGGTGCTGCAAAATTGGTGGTAGCTGTGGCAGTGTTTTTACTGACATTTTATGTTATTTCTCAAGTATTTGAAATAAAAATGGATGCAAGTTTAGGAAATCTATTTGGTAAGTTTTATTTTGTTCCTTTCTTAAATCTTATTTTTGATGTGGCCTAAAGCTTTATCAGTTACCAGCACTGAGTCACTCAGTGCTAGAAAAGGAAATGTAATTGTTACATATCCATAAATGTGATTTGTTAGGGTATTTTATAGTATATAATAAGATATCTTGGAATTAATTTAGTATAAAACATGAATCTTCTTTCTATTCAACATTTTGAATATATGTAATGAGTCTATTTTACACATTTTTAGGGGCATTAATCATGGCATTCTAAGTTCGCATTCTAAAACATAAAATACCTCCAGGCTTAAATTGTTTTCCTGTTTGAGCTGGCTGCTAGAAAACTTGAAGCCAAATCTAGCCCTCAGTTAACCATATGATTAGGGGTCACAGTAATGCATTTTAGATACCAGCCATAGAAATCCATCTTGCAGCTGGCTGTGGTGGCTTGCACCTGTAATTCCAGCTACTCAGAAGGTTAAGGTGGGAGGATCACTTGAGCCCAGGAGTTCCAGGCTGCAGTGAGCTATGATCATGCCGCACTGCACTCCAGCCTGGGTGACAGAGTAAAACCTCATCTCTTAAAAAAAAAAGAAAGAAATCCGTGGTGCTTTCTTACCCTTATTTTCCCTCTGTGGCATTTTTTTTCTAACCCACTCATTTAATGTTGCCATACTGTAAATGTACCATTATAAGGTACCTTAACCCAGTTTTTTAACAGAATCCTTACGTTCATAAAATAACATTTGAAATGTTTTCAGATGAACCAGTTATACATAGTGCTATTGTAGATGATTGTGTGTGAGTATCTCATTGAATCTCAAATAATTGCCAAGTATGCATTTCTTTTCTATAAATATACCATTATGAGACTGAATAATAGAATTTAATTTTGACATATTAAAGTGGAAAACATTTAACCAAGGCGCTATATAAGATTACAGTCATGCGTCACCTAATGTGGGGATACATTCTGAAAAATGCATCATTAGGTGATTTTTGTCACTGTGAGAACATCATAGAGTGTACTTACACAAATCTAGATGGTATAGACTACCACACACCTTGGCTACATTGTATAACCTGTTCCTCCTGGGCTACAAACCTGTACAGCATGTTACTGTACGGAATTCTGTAGGCAGTTGAACACAATGGTAAGTATGTATCTGAACTTGGAAAAGGTACAGTAAAAACGCAGTACTATAATCTGATGGCACTACCACTCTCTGTGTGGTCTGTCGTCGACTGAAACATCATTAGACAGCACCTGACTATAATTCTGAATCTCTTCTGGCAACTGTTTTTGTAGACTTTTATTATTGAAGCTAGAGAAACCATGAGATTCTTCATAGATCCTTGTACCTGCATTGAGTAAGCTATGACTAAATTGTTGCTTATAATATTAAATAATTAAGCATGAAAAGTGAGACTATAAACCCTAGAAACCATATTTTGATCTAGTAGGCAGAAGTCAAATGAAAGAACTGAGATGTCTGGACCACCGATTTTTGCTTTCCATAAATTCATATTTGAAAAGAAAAATCCCCAAGACTTAATTCAGTTTCCGTATTAGGTTCTCATGCTGCTGTGAAGAAATACGCCAAACTAGGTTATTTATAAAGGAAAGAGGTTTAATTGTCTGACAGTTCTGCAGGGCTGGGGAGGCCTCAGGAAACTTACAATCATGGCAGAAGGGTAGCAAACATGTTGTTGGTGGTGGCGGAAAGGAGAAGTGCAGAGTGAAGCGAGGGGAAAGTCCGTTGTAAAACCATCAGATCCTGTGAGAACTCACTATTGTGAGAATAGCATGGAGGTCATTTCCCCCAGGATTCAATTATCTCCCACCAGGTCCCTCCCATGACACACAGGGTTTATGGGAACTACATTTCAAGATGAGATTTGGTGGGGACACAGCCAAACCATATCACTCCCTTTCACATTTAATCTCAAGACTGTTATTCCAGTTTTTCTCAAACTTTAATTCCACAAGAATCTCCAGAGAATCTTGGTAAATGCAGATTTCTGAGTTGGTGTCTGAAGTGGGGCCTGAGATTCTGCATTTCCAACAGCTCCAACGTGATGTTGAGATCCCTGTCCATGGATTGCGTACTGAGTATCAAGGCTTTGGACAATTCTGATATGTAGTCTTCAGTTTTGGCATAAACCTTTTCAGGTGACTTTTCTTACAGAACTCCTTAAAAGTACTTTCTTGTGCCGGTTGAACATCCCTAATCAGAAAATTCAAAATCTGAAATGCTCTAGAATCTGAAACTTTTTGAACATCAACATGACGCTCAAAAGAAAATGCTCTTTGGAGCGTTTTAGATTTCAGAGTTTTGGATTAGAGATGCTCAACTGGTAAGTATAATGCAAATATTCTAAAATCTGAAAAAATCCCATATCCAAAATACTTCTGGTCCTAAGCATTTTGGATAAGGGATAGTTAACCTATATTGCACTGAATTCTGCCTTTTGTACTCCCAAGTAATTTCAGTTCACTGATCTTGTCTCTGCCGGCTAGAGCCCCTTCTTCATCAGTGATCCCTCAGTTACATCGTAGTCATTGTCCGCCAGACCTTCCTTTACAAGTTTTCATCCTTTCCAGTAATGGAATCCTCCCTTTCAGCCATTTCTCTTGATAAATTGGTTATTTTCCTCCTAAACTTGTTTGTTTTTCAGCACACATCCTAAAATGAAGCATCCAGGTTCCAGCATAGAAGTAGTTATTGCAAAGTATAGTGAGATATTACTTTACTTGTTCTGGTCTGTGTACTTGTATTACTACGTAGTGGCCAGCCTGGTGGCCTTTGAGAGCACATCTGGTTTCATTTGAATGATGGAGTGGAAACTATATGGAAGGCATAGAGGACTTGTTCCATGTGGCTTTGGAAGCAGTGTGGATAGTTAATTCTTCTAAGACACATTGATGGTAAGAGAAGCAGCTTATGAGATAGTAGTTTGACTCAAAAGCAGGTTGCACGTATTCTTCTTTTTTAGCGTAATAGACTTTCATTTGTCTATAGGCCTTGGATGAAAGTTCAGTGAAGGACAAATGAACGCCAAGAGACTGAACCGGCAAGGAAAGGAGGATGTTTGGGAGAAGGGAGGCAGTGGGACCATTGGAACAAATAGAAGTTACATGGGAAAAGACCCACTGTTTTTAGAAGATTGAAGAGAAGGTTGGGTGAAGCTACAGTGTGGTATAGTCCCTGTGCACATGCAGCTGGTGGTTCCTCTCCGGTGATACCAGTCATGTCTGTCCTCATCCTTTGTCCCCCATCTTTGGCCCCGTTTGGATCTTCGTCTCTAATCTGGACTGTTTTTATGACCATCATAATGACGTTCCTATGTCTTTTCTCATCTCTGATATCTGCCTGTCTCGCCACTTTCAGAGCCATTTTCTTAAAACTCAGTAATCTTTAGTATTTCCAGTTACTAGAGGATAAAGTCCAAACCCCATACTTAGGTTGGCACCCAAATCCCCCAGCCTGCCCTTCTCAGCTGTTCTTCACCCCTCCTTCCTGCGTGGGTCACACTGTTGTACCAGTCTGCATACAGCTTCAAATCCCCTCCTGTCCTTTCTACCCTGGCCTTTGCTTGTCGTGGTTCCTCACCCTGCACATCTTTCTCATTTTTTAGAACTTTGCATAAATTCCCCTTCTTTGGAATAAATTGTGTTTGAACCTCCCTCTTTAAGAATATATTGCTCCTTTTTTCTGAACATTTTTTCTAATTGCATAGTGGTTATATTTCAGTTTGGCACTGATTTTAATCTGCCTTGCATTATATAATTTTTTTTCTTTTTTTCCTCTTTTTCCTGTGTCTGTCTCCCTTCACCCAAGAGTGAGTCTTAAAGGCGATCTTTTGGTGCTTCACCCAGCATCTAGCACTGGGTGCTGCAGATGGTAAATGCTGATTGAGTGAAAATAAATGTAGGTAACAGAGAATTAGGATTTCTACATGGAAAGGAATATTTCCAAAGTGGGATTCACATAAAGCTGTATTGGAAAATCACTGGTAGTCACCTATGAACAGATGTTGAGCTACTTTAATCTCCTACTTTTTATTTTTTGATTTTTCCTGATGTTGAGAACCTGCAAGTGGTTTTGTGTACATTTTAGCTATTTGATTTAGACATTATTAGGGCAGATGGTTATTTTCATTTCAAAACTGAAGTGTAGTACTTTGTAACCTTACTGGTTGCCAATCTATTGAATTGGCCAAAATTTAACTGTGTGGTTTTATTTTAATTCTCATTTCAGACTATCTTAGGGAAGATGGATATATGGTTATCTGTGTCATTTGTGTAGCATCTTAGTATATGAAAGGGTAACATGTTTAATCCAGTAGGAGGATTCTTGCTATAATCGTTATCTTAAGGACTCATAAGATTAAAAACAGTTCTTTTGGTGATTAGTTTTCCATTTTTTAACTTACTTGACAGTTTCTATAAATTATGTAGATTTATGTTTATTGTATATATTATTTTAGAAAAATAAAACACATTTGTAGAAAGGAAGAATAACAGTTTTTCCGACAATTAGTAGTTGAAATTACCAGTGTCAATTATGAATTTTAAAAACAATTTTTTGTGAAACTTTATTTTAAGATGATTGTATTATCTTTTACAAATCCATTTAAATATACAGAGAGATGGTGCATACCGTTTCCTCATTTTCTCCCATTGGTAATAGCTTACAAAACTATAATACACTGTCACAATCAGGACATCAACACGGATACAATTCACCAATCTTATTCAGATCGTGGGTTAATGTAGTGTTTGTTTTCAGTGTGAATACTTAGCTAGTAAATGAACTGAATACAGTCCAAATTATTTTTGTCTGTATTGCTGCAATAAGTACTTAATGTTCTTTTTTTTTTTTGAGATGGAGTCTCACTCACTCTGTTGCCCAGGCTGGAGTGCAGTGGCGCAATCTCTGCTCACTGCAAGCTTCTCCTCCCGGGTTCATGCCATTCTCCTGCCTCAGCCTCCTGGGTAGCTGGGACTGCAGGCACCCACCACCACGCCCGGCTAATTTGTTTTTGTATTTTTAGTAGAGATGGGGTTTCACTGTGTTAGCCAGGATGGTCTCGATCTCCTGACCTCATGATCCTCCCGCCTCGGCCTCCCAAAGTGCTGGGATTACAGGCGTGAGCCACCGTGCCTGGCCATAAGTACTTAATGTTCTATTGAATTTATTTATTTTCACTTTTTCAGATTTAAACCATTGATATATAGTGTATAAATTACTTGAGACATTATTAAAAACTAAAGTACAAAATAGTTCTGATTCATTAGCCCGACTTACTGAAAGACATTCATTGATGAAATGCAATAACAAATGTTTATTATTGTTCCTTGCAGTTAAATGTATATGCAGAAAGAAATTAAGGATTAAAGCTATCAGTGTAGTTTGAGGGGAAAAAATTGTAGGAGAGGAGGGATTTTGGTGTTTGTATGTTATGCTTGTATTCTATACTTGGACAGCTGTTTATGAAAATTAATGTACCTGTTTGGCCACCGGATGCTAATATTTTCAGAATTACAGACTTAGTACAGGGCTTTTGATTTTGATGTGTATTGGATAAAAATGAGCTTTCTTCTGGGAAGAAGTGTTTCACAGGAGTTTCTTCACCTTAAAGCATGTACTCTCCTTACTCTTACACAAATTAAATGGAGGTGATGTTATTTACTTAGTAAACGCCTGATGATTAAAAAACTGATTTTCCCGAAATTGTATCCCAGTAAAGTTTTTTTTTCCCTCAAACCAAGTGTAGATAAGGTTTGTTTTCTGCTTTGTTCTGGGCATTAAGCTTTTTCAATGTTTTATTACCTTTATGACTTTAGTAGTGCATAATATTCTACTGAGTGTTCTATTGAGTTAATCAACTTTTATTTACTTGGTCATTTTCCTCTTTTTAAACATTTCAATGCAGTCTTTTAACTTTCAGCCTACCAGTTTGAGTATTGGACCTACAGGAAATTCACAATTATCTAAAATAGTACAGAACTAAAACTGTGTGACTATTTATAGCAAGACAGCTGGTTAAGATTTATCACACTGCATACTTATTAGTCAAATCAGGAAATGGCTGTCCACAGTACTTTGATGATCTGAGTTATAATCTCTTGGGCTGGGATCAGATGTTAGTGCTTTTAAAAAGCCCTGACTATAATTATGATAGATGGTCAGGTTAAGAACTACTAAATTCAAGTTAAGATTTGACCTCATGGTTTCCTTGATCTGATAAATTATAAATCTTTTAGTAGTGACCTTCCTCATACCCCTCCCTGGCCCTCGCAATCTCCTGACCTCACCACTAAGATAGGTTCCTGTATATTCTCTGGGGCTTTTGCATATCTTCACAACACCATACAGCAGCAACAACTTTTAAACACCATCATATTCACCAAATTTATGTTTCTAAACATTGAAAGGTAAGTTTGTAGAGTAACTTCCTGATTGAAATTTAAATTTATAGTAAATAAAATTCAAAATAAAATGGAAAGGGAAAAATAAAATGTTTTATCAGTAATAAAATACTACCCTCCATAATTATTTAATAGTTTATAATGAATGTACAGGGTGAAGTTCCTTTCTCACTTTTTCTTAAGAAGTGATATTCATGTTTTATTGTATACTGAATGATTATTTGAACACTTATTTTTGTGGGCCTAAATATATTTTAAAAGTGGATACTTGCCAATAGGCTAATTCCTTCTAACAAAAGTAATTTTTTTTTTCAGCAAGATCAGCATTGGACACAGCTGCACGTTGTAAGTATTTCATCTCAATTTTTTATGTGTGATTTATTCTGCCTTATCTTAGGCATATGAGACCTTATATTCAAAGTGTTAGTATTTCAGTGTGAGGAAAAACTGATTTAGAAATGGCTTTTTAAAGTTACAAGGATGCTATTTGATTGGACAGCCCAAATACTTTTTGGTAATTATTTATGATGGATGTTTTGTGTTTTTCAACTCCATTATTATAAGTACAGAAATTGGTGTGAGGAGTAAGAGACAATACTGTACATGGGCAGGTAGTCAGTGGAACATTAGGCTTTTTGTAATGATCCTGGAGGTGACGATTTTTTGTGCATATATGGACTAGAAGTGCAAAGTAACATTCAGAACCTCCCACATCCTGAAATTTAAAAATAAACTCATAGTTAGAAATAATATATTTACCGTAATGAAGTTCGTATTACTTGACCCATTTACGCCCATTATTAATTTGTTTCCTAGGAAGTTCTGGCGTCTGTTGTGGGCTTTTTTTTTGCTGTTTTTTTAAAAAAAAAAAATTTGAGGTTCTTTGAAACCCTCGGGAAAAAATTAGCTTGTAATTTAATATATGTGTATTTTGATATTTTACATAATGCCCTTTGTGGTTTGAGATTTGAAATAAAGTGTGGGAAAGTCTATTAATTTGTTTTCTTTAAAAAGAAATCATATTTTCTCCCCCAAAGCTACAAAGCCTCCCAGATATAAGTGTGGGATCTCAAAAGCTTGCCCTGAGAAACATTTTGCTTTTAAAATGGCAAGTGGAGCAGCCAACGTGGTAGGACCCAAAATCTGCCTGGAAGATAATGTGTAAGTATTTGGTGACTTGAGACTCTAAAGTGTGCTATTAAATTACAGCCAGTTGAACCTGAGTTTAATGGATATTTTGAAAATGTATTAGGCATACTTTATTAATGGAAAGTGATTTCAGTTTTTATTATACAGTTTTTTTCTCATGAATTCAAGGGGCCTTAAAGTTCTTAAATTTTAATAACACTTATTTGGCTTGATAGAGATAAAAGATTTCCTCTGAGTGAATTCTCTAGATCTGCGCTGTTCCATTTACTAGCAACAAAACACAGGTGGCTATTTAATTTTGATCCTTAAATATTAGGAAGAAAGTTAATTCAGTTAACTAAAAAGTGCAGTTCCTTGATATCCATCACCACATTTCAGGTGTTCAGTGGCCACATGTGGCTCATGGTTACCAAATGGAACAGCAGAGAGAGCATTTTCATCATGGCAAAAATCCTATTTGCAACATTGGCCTGGACAATGAATGCGTTCTCTTATAAACCAACAACTTTCATTTAAAATATTTGAGTGCTGCTTGTTGAAGTGTGAAATAACCTCAATTCTATTGCAGTACAAACTGCTTGCCTCTAAGCTGAATGGTTTCCTATGTCGAAATGCTTTCTAAAGGATGATTTTTAGGATTTTTAGTATCCTACCTCAGTGTCAACTGTTGCTTGCAAGTTCCTGCTGCTGAAATTGCAAACCCTACTTTTAGTTGGTTGCTTTTAATATGCTATTGCCTAGGAAACTAGACATGGGAGCTTATTTAAACTTAATATAAAATAATAAATTTGTCACTAATTATATAGAATAAAGAGGTAATTTTATAGCAGAGAGGAGACCTAGGCAGCTTTTCCTGGCTGTTTATGTGCCTCTTCTTTTAATATAGAAGCTCTTAAATTTTTATCCTAGCCTCCTTTGCAGGTAGTTAGCTGTAAGAAGTTTATTGAGCCTCATGGGGCAACAGTTTTCTTGTAAAATTAAGGGCTTGAGCTAGATGATCTTTAAGGTCTGTACTGATTTCCTTTATTTCCCTGTATTCTAATGATGATTTACTGTTAATCCATGTGTTTTCTGATTTCTCATTAGGATAGTCCTGTTTTACTGACATGTAATAAGGCACTTGAATTTTAGAAGTTTGTAGGTTTTTGAAAACATTCTCATTTCCACTTTTTATCTTGTTTGGTTAAATAGACCCCGGATTTGATTCTAAATAACAGGAACAAAATTCTTTTAGAATACCTAACCCATAGATGACCTTGGACATCTATTCTGCCCCCTCGATGCATGTAAATTTTAGTTCAGAGAAGAAGAGATCAGACTATTTTTACTAGCAGGTTTTTAATTCACAGATTAAAACTGTAAACAACAAAACACACTCAGAAAAAAAGCTCAACTGTTTACCCACATGGCCTACAAGTTCCTATGTGTCCTGACCCTTATTCACTTCTCTCCAGATCTTCTTGATCTTGGGACCTTGGAGCATGCTGTTCTGTCTAGGATGGTCTTTCCTCACTCCTCACCTGGCTGTCTTCCTTCTTGTCCTTTGGTTCTCAGAGTACACTTCACTGTCTTAGAAATTATTCTCTATCCCTCAACCTAAAGTTGAACAGCTAAAGATCTAAGGTCGAAAAGAGAACAGTGTGTAGACAATGGAGCTTGGTAAAATACATACTGGGCTTAGAGCCAGAGAATTTGCTTCTAGCATGGTGGGCATGTCATGTAGCATTTGTGTTTCAGTTTCTTTAACCATTAAATGAGGCAGGCCACGTATCCATCCTTATTTCAGGAACCATTCTGCCATTACCTTGAGAGATTAAATATTTGGTGGGATTTTATACCCAAGTCTCAGGTTAAAGTCCAAAGAAAGAGTCTTAAGTTTTTTGAGAGTCATTTATTCACCTGTTCAGCAAGTATTTTTGAGCATAATCCCTCCTGTTGTGGAACTTACAGTTTAGTAGGGGTGACAAATGTTTAACAAATATGTACTTATAAATTGTGTCACCAGGCCAGTTGCGGTGGCTCACGCCTGTAATCCCAGCACTTTGGGAGGCCGAAGCGAGTGGATCACCTGAGGTCAGGAGTTTGAGAGCAGCCTGGCCAACATGGTGAAACCCCATCTCTACTAAAATACAAAAATTAGCCAGGCATGGTGGCACATGCCTGTAATCCTAGCTACTCGGGAGGCTGAGGCACAAGAATCACTTGAACCTGGGAGGTGGAGGTTGCAGTGCGCCAAGATCACACCACTGCACTCCAGCCTGGGCCACAGAGCGAGACTTTTTTTTTTTTTTTTTTTGAGACAAACAAATTGTGACTCCAGCCCTGCAGGGTGGCAGGGTGTGATGAGTACTGGCAACAGTGGATGGAAAGAGGTGTCCACCTTTGGTCGAGGGTTATGGAACAGTTTCTAAGACAGTGATGTGTATTCTGAGATCTGAGGGATAGAAAGGAAGACCATCCTAGACAGGAGGAAAGAGCCTGCTCGAAGGCCCTAAGATTGGACAGCTCTGGAGAGAAGTGAATTAGGGCCAGGCTGCATAGGAACTTGTAGGCCATGCAGGTAAAGGGTTGAGACTTTTTTTCTGAGTGCATTGAGAGCTTGTGGAAGGATTTCAGATTCAGGCATGTCGTGATTTTACTTATATTGAGAAAAGTTATCTGGCTGCTGTGTAAAATAATTAAGGAAGTGGAATAGAGAGGACAGTTGGAAGGCCATTGTCAGTTACTGCCACAGCTCTTTGATACTGCCTCCCTATTGCTAACAGACTTTATTGCTTATACATTCACTAAAATATATAAGTAGATAATAAAAATAACATAAGCAGATAATTTAATATTTTCAGAGCACCTGCTCTGAGTACGTGTAACTCATTTTGGAGACTGCTATTCTTGTGTCTCAATGGGGGCAGTTTTGTTCTCCAGGGGACATTGTAATTTTGGGTTGTCATAGCTTTGGAGGTACTCCTTGTAGAGGCCAGAGATGCTGTTAAACATCTTTCAGTGCAGAGGTCAGCTGGTCCACAAGAATTATCAGGCTCCTAAAATGAGAGGCCAGGTTTGAGAAACTCTGATACAGACAGATGATAATTATGATTAGGATGGTGGTCATAAGTAGATTAAGTCAAAATATATTATGGAGATTAAGATGTGTTTTAAATGTCTCAGTTAGAAATAGAAAATCGCAGGTGTGAACCTAAGGTGTCAGGAGAAACAGTAATTGCAGCTTTTTTTTTTACTTTACTTTTTTTCTTTTCTTTTTTACCTAGAGACAGGGTCTCATTCTGTTGCCCAGGCTGGAGTACAGTGACGCAATCTTAGGTCACTGCAACTTTGAATGCCTGGACTCAAGCGATCTTCCCACCTCTACCTTCTGAGTAGCCGGGACTAAGGTGCACACCACCACACACAGCTAATTTTTCTATTTTTGTGGAAACGGGGTCCCCTTGTGTTGCCCACGCTTGTCTTGAACTCTTGGGTTCAAGCAGTCTTCCCACTTCCACCTCCCAGAGTGCTGGGATACAGGTTTTTTCTTTCTCGTTAGAGCACCCATAGAGCTGACTTATATTCCAATTATAATTTTCATCTAAGGCATATATTCATTTGATTTCAATTTGTATGAATTTGATGTTAGGAATAATTCATTACTTTTGATTTTAATGGTAATGTTTGCTGCAAGAATATGAGATTATTTTGAGGGTTTTTTTTTTTCTTAACAAGGGATCAATGTTTTTGGCTATGAAGGCAAAGAGGTAAAATCAAGATTATTATATAGGTACTTATATAATCATTTAAAATGTAACCATTGAAAAATGTAAAAACTGTTCTAAACTCATGAGTAGTAAAACAAAACAAATTAAAAAACCAGTTGGCGGGATGTGGCTCGTGAGCTATAGTTTGCCAAGCCCTGCTTTAAACTAACCATCCTAAGAGGTAGTAACTAGAACTTGGAGTAGCTATTTGAAACAAAACTATACTTGAAGATATCAATTATTTCTACAGATGATATAATCATTTCCTTTAGAATTTTGCCTGGAGATGTGGGGAGGGGTACCTTATATTCATGAAGGGTAAAAGAAAATATCTCAACTTGTGTTAGTAAGGGTGACTAACCTTTATACATTTTAAATCTCAGTGGGTTTTTTATTTGTTAGAGATTTTCTGTTTGAATTTCAGTTTTTAAAAATTGATAAGCTGCTGCCCTCTTGTGGGAAGCCTATGTCGTTGTGCTTCTTTGTTACCTCTATTTCTTTGCTTTATGGTAGATTTCAGTCTGTAAAATGCAACATCATACCCCTAGATGATCTTTACTTGGAAAAGTCACTCTGGCACTTAACCTGTTAATCGCAGCAGTTACTTCTTAATGATAGAGTTTACTTATTGAATGTATTTCTGAAGGAAACAGAACAATGCATTTTGAAACTTCTCTTTGGTGCAGCTGAGCCAATAGTTAAGTAATGAAGCATAGAACTTTTTAAATGTATGTGCTCCAAACTAGTGCTTTTAAACAGCTTTGAGATATAATTCACATGCCATCCATTTCACTCATTTATATTATACAGTCAGTGACTTTGTATATTCACAGATATATGCAATCTCTGCCACAGTCAATTTTAGAACATTTTTATATCTCAGAAAGAAACTCTGTACCCCTTAGCTGATACCCTTCTATGCCTTTCTTGTCCTGCCCTACTTCTCCACCCTCAAACCCTAAGTTAACCATTAGTTTACTTTCTGTCTTTATAGATTTGCCTATTTTGGACAGTTCATATAAGTGGTATATAATATTTGGTCTTTTGTGATTGGCTTCTTACCGTAATGTTTTCAGTCTTCCTCCATGTCATATCATGTATCAGAACTTCATTCCTTTATATCTGAACGATATTCCATTGTATGGACATACCACATTTTGTTTACCCATTCATTAGTTGGTAGACATTTGAGTTGTTTCCACTTCTTAACTATAATGAATAACATTTACAGAAACATTTATGTACACATTTTATGTGGACATATGTTTTTATTTCTTTATACTCCCAGGGAGTGGATTTTGTTTCAGATGGTAACTCTGTTTAATTATTTGAGGAACTGCCAGATTGTTTCCCAAAGTGGCTGCATCTGTTTGCATTTCCACCAGCAGTGTATGAGGGTTCCAATTTCTCCACATCCTTGCCAACACTTGTAATTATCTGACTTACTGATTATAGCCAGCCTAGTAGGTGTGAAACGAAATCTCATTTGCATTTCCCTGATGATTAGTGATGTCTAGCGTCTTTTTGTGTGCTTATTGGCCATTTGTATGTCTTCTGTGGAGAAATGTCTATTCAAACCCTTTGCCCATTGATAAATTGGATTATTTCTTTATAATTGAGTTGTAATTTCTCTTTTGATTAATGTTTACATGATATGTCTCTTTCTACCCTTTTACTTTCCACTGCCTATATGGTTATATTTAAAGTGAGTTTCTTGTAGACAGTGTGTAGTTGGTTCCTGTTTTAATTCACTGTGCGAATTTCTGTCTTAATTTGGTATGTTGAAACTATTTTCATTTATAATAATGATTATTATATGAGGGTTTAAGTCTACTATTTTATTATTTGTTCTTATTTTCTCTTTTTCCTGCCTTCCTGTGAGTTACATGAACATTTAAAAAAGTGTTTCTTTTGATTTATTTATAGTATTTTTGAGTGTATCTCCATATAGCTTCTTTAGTGCTTTCTCTCTTTACGGAATAAGTTTGCAGACCCAAGTTCTAGACTTTAGGTCTTCAAGTGAGGGAGAAAATATTATGCAGATTAAATTGGAAAATATGTCATATCTATATCTGTTATATGGTGGATAGCACCAAAAATATAGGAAGTAGTCTTCCAGTATTTGAAAACTTATTATCTGATTCAGTCATCATTGACAGGCAAGTGGAATTTTAACATGAATCTTCATTATTTGTTTTTCTTTATTTTATCTTACTCATTAGCATACATCCAACATTTGTTAGAACTGAGCTCATTCATCAATTGCAACCATAATTTAGCTGCTGATGTGAGTTGTCTGAAAAATCAACTAAAACATTCTGTGAGAATCAATTGACTGAGATTTATAATAAAGTACATTGTAGATTTTATTTGTGAAATTGTGTACTATACATCCTTCATATCAGTAGTTTATAATAAATTATGTGCCTATGTGTGTGTATGATTCTGTCAATATATGGACATGTGTGTGCACGTGTTGTCACATTTTGCATATTGCCTCTCCTAAACACAGACCAGTTGTTAAATATTTAACAGCACACCACTGGGAGTATTACTATTACCTTGAAGTTTTGAGTTAAAAGAACTCACAATTTTAGTTTAATAACTCTGATTTGAGCAATTGAACAAACTGAACTGATAACCAGCAAATGTGTCACCGGTACCTTACATTTTACAATGTCATTGTCTTTATCTAGTGGTCAGAGCTGCCCGTGGAAGTCAGTTATCTCAGGTAGTCACCATGTAAGTGACTGTCATTCAGTGCCGTAATTTCATGAGTGCAATATTTCTTCTTAGTGTGGAGGAACTTTACGGTGATAATCACTAGGAAAATGTTCACAATTAGGTAAAACATTCAGGAAAGAGTGCTCCCTCACTCTGTTAGCTTTTAGATTTTAAAAGATGGGGGTAGTATCTCACTTCTGTTTCATGTCACGCTGGTATTGAAGAGAGCAGAAAGGAGATTATCTTTTGTTTGATACCTGAAGAATGGGGCAGAACATGTGCTTAATGTGCATGTTTTAAGAGTTATCTGAAGCAGTGCAGCACAAAAATGGTCTATTATTTCAGGCCTAATATTTTTTAATATATATTTATATTTGTGAAATATTATTTAAGGACATTGCTTTAAAATTATTCAGTATTAGACTGTCTTCTCTGAGTTAGTAGAGATCTTTTTAATTTCCTCTGCAGCACTGAACAATTGAAAATGTGTATAATATTCCTAACCTTTTTTGCAAGACTTTATTTTTCTGATATGTTATTGTACAGTATTTAATTCTAAATTTATTTCAATTTCTCCCCCTTCAGTTTAATGAGTGGTGTTAAGAATAATGTTGGAAGAGGGATCAATGTTGCCTTGGCAAATGGTAAGAACAATTATTTTAGCTTATGGATATAATCATTTTTCTGTCCCGAAGTAAAATGCACTATCAGAGGATCAGGTTAGAAAGTGCTGCTCTTGATGATAAAGCCCTCTCTCCCATCCCTGCCCCACAAAAAAATCTATAGGTGGAGACTTGGTGTCTAAGAATTTATAGTGTGTTTCTTGAAAGTATCATAACTTGCTATGCAAGAACTTCCCGTGAGATTGTCAGAAAACAAAGAGTCTAACATCACATTGGTAAAATCTTGCTTCAAATTTTGCAATCCTAACATAATAGGAAGATAGGTTGACAGGATTAAAGGTGTGTAAAATAACAAAGGATAGTGGACTATTAAATGGTGTAGGCGAAGGAACAAAGAAGAATTTATTGTAATTTTTCATTATCGGCCACATTCTTCTGATTGCTTAATTAGTATGAATAAGTTCATTGAATCCTGAACATCTCAAATTTTCCTTCAAAATCAAATCTGAAAACCTGAAACCATGAAGTAAAGCCTAACTGCATATTGATCTTCTCTGTTCTGGTACAATAAGTATTCCATAAAGCTGTGTAGGATGGTTATAAGATATATAGGATGGTTAGAAACCACTGTAGTTTCATAGTGTAGAAAAATATGTTTTACTACTTTCACAACAAGAGGTAAATTTTTGTGTTTCCACTTTCTTCATTTCCTTAGGTTAAAAGGTTCAGCATCTATTTGTCTATTTCATTAATAGCAAAAAATACATTTTATAGAGCAAGTTAATGTAAATTTTATCGTAAAAACTGATTTAATGTAGAAAATGGCATCTGATTCAAGGAGATACTTCTTTTCTGTAAAAGGTTTACTTTTGAGTAATGTTAAACTAACAGAATATGGAAACAAGGATGAAATATATCTAACTGAATTGGAGTGGTCCACAGTCAGTAATGAACTTCTATTTATCCTTTGGCTTAAAAAATTAATGAGAAAGTTGTATTAAAAATTACTCTTTAAAATTTTATGTCAGGTGCGTATGGATTTCAGATTTTAAGTTGTTCTCAAAGTAATTCCTTCTCTGCTAGTGAATTCACATAAATCATTGGATAAGATTATTGGTTTTACAGTGTATGATGTTTTCAAATGCATAATTTGATACGAATTTAATCTCTCTTAGGAAAAACAGGAGAAGTATTAGACACTAAATATTTGACATGTGGAGAGGGTAAGTGTAACTAACATACGACTCTGTGTCTTTTGCTGTCACTGACGTTAATCACCGTCAATACAATGTAGTCATTAATGAGAGAATGATGATGCTACTTTGTGTTTAGTTCATTTTGTTTTCCCTTACTTTCTGTTCACTAAATGCCGGCTGTATTTAATTATCATTCATGTTTTATATACTTTGTTCTCTTAGAGAAAATTTTTGTGGGTGTGTAATTGAAGACAGTAGTATCAAAATTGAGATTAAAAAAAAAAATTTCATCTTGTTTCTATAGGACAACAATTCAAAAGTTTGGGGCTCCTTTAGGTTTTCTGTCTAAAATTAAAAAAAAAAAAAAAATACCAGAATAACCAATGTAAGCATTCCTAAGTGATAAGAATTGATTTTTTTACATGTGATTTTTCAGTCTTAAAAATATCATACTAGGAGCATTAGAAAGACAAGATAAACTATCAGTTTTAGAAAAGCAATCCTATTATTCATCACAGTTCTACCCTCTGACTTGTGGCTAATTTTTTAGGTAGATGAATATTTTGAGGGAAGAAATAGAATTTTCTTTGTTGTTGACTGGATGTAGCAATCACCGATGATTTTTCCCTTTCCATATTTGGAAGTCCCACAAGGAGTGGGAAGAAGTTACCAGCATGCAGAGGGCAAGGGACTGGCACCCCAAAGAAGAACACTGCCCAGAAGGATGGGTTTTTTCCTCAAGTTTGGAAGGGGAGGCCAACACTGCGTTTATCTTTCGATTCGTAATTTGGAGGATTTATCAGTATGAGGACTCCTCTGCACCTCCCCATTCCATTTAATATAATTCCCTAGAAGCCAACAGCTATTAGGCTTCCTGAAATTCATGTTAAAGTTCTCAGATAATTTAACTTTTTCAGACATATCTTCAGCTTGTAATAAGGATCCATGTGCCGGACGCGCCGGTGACTCACGCCTGTAATCCCAGCACTCTGGGAGGCTGAGGCAGGGCAGATCACCAGGTCAGGAGATGGAGACCATCCTGGCTAACACGATGAAACCCCGTCTCTGCTAAAAATACAAAAATTAGCCAAATGTGGTGGCTGCACCTTTAGTTCCAGCTACTTGGGAGGCTGGAGGCAGGAGAATCCCTTGAACCGGGGAGGCAGAAGTTGTGGTGAGCCAAGATCATGCCACTGCACTCCAGCCTGGGCGACAGGTGAGATTCCATCTCAAAAAAAAGATGCCGTATATTATTTGTTCTTAAATAAGGTTAGGACAACATTGCATAGCTGTCAAAGCTGTATAAACTTAAAATGTGACCATTTGATTTTAGATTCTAAAGGCATTAATTGGTCCTGCCAAAATTTGTTGATAGAAACAGTCTTACAAAGCTGTTGTGAAATCAGTCATGTGACCAGGAGCCTCTGATATTCCCTACTTCCCTTGTCACAGGTAGATTAATTACCGCTAGAAGCAATTCTTCTAGTTAGGAAATTGTTGCAGGTATTGCCACCTTTGCATTTCAGTGGAAGTAATTTCATAGCTGCCTTGTTACATCTTTTTGAATTGAAAATGCTATTATGAAATATAATCAGTTATCAAAAATCTTCGGAATCTTAGCTGTGGAAAGAAACTGAGTACATTTGAAGTAACCCAGTTTTGGAGTTGAATTAGACTTCAGAGCTATAAGGAATCCTGACACTGTAAAGAGTTCAAGATGTTAAGTGGTTTGTAGAATCTGACCTATATATGTGGCATCAACAGTTTATAGTCACTGAAGTGGTTTATTTTGGAGTCCTTGTGGATTTTGATTCAGTAGATAAAATGAGTAGTGACTGTAATATTTGCTACAATTAGTTTGGCTTTTTATGATCACCTAACCTATATTCCTTCTCCCAGTTTATAGCAAGTGATATACCTAAAATATCCCTTTTAAATCTGTGGTATATGTATTTTTAGTTTTCTATAAAGTTACAGATATCTTTGAGAATCGGAGAAAAGCTGTGTATCCTCTTTCTAGTTAAAGTACCTATACAAACAATGTTACGCTTTTTTTCGTTTTGGGTGTGTTTTGTTTTGTTTTGTTTTGAGACAGGGTCTTGCTGTGTCACCCAGACTGGAAATGCAGTGGGTGTGATCTCAGCTCACTGCAACTCCACCTCTTGACCTCAGAGCAGTCCTCCTGCCTCAGCTTCCTGAGTAGCTAGGACTACAGGCATATGCCACTAAGCGTTGGCTGATTTTTAAATGTTTTTGTTGAGTGAGGTTCTCACTATTATTGCCCAGGGCGGTTTCAAGCTTCTGGGCTCAAGCGAGCCCAGCCCTGACCCTCCCAAGATGCTTGGATTACAGATGTGATTCACTGTGCTCAGCCCATACAAACAATTTTACATACACTTATGGAGTCCAGGAAACTCCCATGCATGAACTCCTTAAGTTTATGCATGACCCCAGAATAAGGTTTTCAGGATCTCAATTGTTGAAATCTGAGAGATCTCTAAATTTCTTACTTCATAAGTCATGCTTTAACATGACTCTGCTATGGTATTTTTCACTTAGCCCCAGGAATATCAGTACAAAAGACACAGGATAAATCAGGAATGGGAAATTGTAAATTGATGCTGGGATTATATTAAGGGACAAACTTAACAGTTTTTAAACGCTTAATAAGATTTGTCTGTCTTTTGGATTACATTGGAAATTATTGCTTTACAGATACTTCATGTTTTATAATATTACTTTTAGAGATTATCAAGATGGTCATTCAGTCATTTTTTAAAAACCTCAACCCTTTCTTTTTCTTCAGATGTGGCACCATTTATTGAGTTTCTGAAGGCCATACAAGATGGAACAATAGTTTTAATGGGAACATATGATGATGGAGCAACCAAGTATGTAAACTTGAAACTTTACAGAACTTTTTGGAGCTATAATTTGTAATTATGAAAGCAATACATTTTCATAAAAAAAAATCTGTAACATAAAACAAAGTAATCAAACTACCAGATAAACACAACTTAACAATTTTTTTTTTTTACTTTGCCTCCTTCCTGGTTTTCTGTGTAAATGTTTATCACCCATATATTGTCATGAAATTAGAATCACATCATATATAACATTTTTTATGCTTTCATGTTCTGCTTTTTAACATTCTGAAATTGTTTTTCCTGGCATTAATATTCTTCAGTAGCATTTTTATGGTTCATCAGCAGTTGTGGGCTCACCTTTATTTAAAAGTTTCCCTATTATTATGTCATTAGGGTAAATTTCAAGAAATTGAGCTAATTGTCAAAGATACAAGTGTGCTGTATTTTAAATAAGTTTAATAAATAATACTTTTTAACTTTTTCTTAAAATAGTATATGTTGTAAAAATTTGGAAAATACAGAAAAGCGCAAAGAGACCAAGTTCCAGTCCATCTCACTACCCACTGTAAACATTGATCATATTTTAGTTTCCATTCCAGATGACTTAACACACATGTTTTTTTGGCTTTAACTATTTAGAATGCTAGTATTTATAGCACATCTCTTCACTTACGTGGTGAATATTTCCCCTTATTAGTAAATATTCTTTATAAAAAAATGTTTATGCCTGCCTAGTCTGGTTTTTAAAATGTCATGATTTATAACCTGTTTAATGGGCTGCCTATTGCTGGACCCAGGCTAGTTCCAATTTTCGTACTTAGCAAAATATACTGTCTTAGAAATGTTTAAACAGTCCATATCTATTTCTTTAAGATAGACTTTTTTTTTAAAGTAGAAATGATCAATTAAAGGATGTGCAACATGTTTTTAAAAATGGATTTTTAAAAATTTTTTACCAATTTTATATTTTTCTCAGAAGTTCCATGGCACCGATTGTTAATTTTTTTAAGTTTCTATTTTAAGAGTTTGAAACGGTATCTTAGTCTACTATGCCTTTATTATTGAGATTGGATTTTTTTCACAAGTGTTTTTTTAATTTTTTTACCCTTTTATGTGAATTGTCTTTTGACCATTCAACTTGGCCTATATTGACTTGTAAGACTCCTTTATGTTTTAAGGATATTAACCATTTCTAATGTAAAAAGAAATATATTTATTGTACATTATTTGCTTTTAATTGTGTTAGTGTAGGGTGCCTTTTGAATTTTAGAATTTTAGACTAATGCCTATATAGTCTATGTATTTTTCTATCAGTCTGATCTACTTGTATACTTGAGAAGTATTTTTCCACCTCCAGATTAGATATTTAGTAGATTTTTCTCTTCCAGTGATTTTACTGTTTTCATGTATTTTTAAAAACCCATTTGCAATTTCCCCGTGACATACAATGCCTGTGTTCTTATGTAGATGTGGCTTTATCTCTGGAATTTCTGTTCTGTTCCATTCACTTGACCTATTTATCTCTGTTCCAAAAAGACACTATTTCAATTATTTTAAAATTGTTCTATAAAAGTAATTGGACTTCATGCCTCTCTGGTTGAGATTAAATCCCCTTTAATGTTCTTCTTTCTAGAAAAAAATAATTTTTTCTCTGACTTTTCTTAAGACGACTTATCAAGGATAAAAAACATCCTTTATAGATTTTAATTGACAGAACCTTAATACGACAAGATTTATACAGAAATGTGCCATGTCTTTTTAATGTACTGATTTTTATAAATGTATTATTTTATAGCTATATTATCACAGATTTACATGAAGAAAACAGTGCTACTTTATAAATGGTTGTAAGCTTGAAGTAATTTCATTGACATTGTGCATTTTATCGGGTTCAACTAAGAATATATTAAATCCATAAATTGAAGGTTAACACAAAACTTGCCTATTCAAGCATTTTCATCCATTTAAATAGAATGAAACACGATGTAATTAGGCTCTCATCAGAAAACAGGTAGCTGTTTGCTTTTGCTGAGAGAATAGGCTATTATGTGTAAAATTTGAAGTTTTAACATTAAAAAGAAAACGCCCCACTTTTCTGAATTGATAAACATGACCTCCTTTTTTCACCAGATTATTTTGTTATACCTGATGGGAATCAGAATTGCTCCCCTTAATCTGCTAATATGCCAACAATAAATTGTAACCACAGCTAAGAACTAGGGGAGGAATGATGTTTACTTTTTAACTGCTATTTTTTTGGTGCCAATTAAATGCACCAAAAGCAGCTTTGGAAGAGAGAGTTCAACCTCTAGGGCAAAAGGAAAAATCTAAACTTTAATTTCTTTACATTTGGTCACCTGGTCAATATATGATTCATCTTCTGTGAATTTAAATGAATTGAGTTGTATGAGTTTGGGGCACATGAATTTATATTTCAAATATTTCCTTTTTCTAAATACTGGTAAAAGAAATTGTAAGCATCGTATCTTTTATACTGAAATGGACAACATCCTTATGAAAAGCAATCTACATCTATTATATATAAATACCTTTTATCTTGGCAAGTGTCTGATTGTGGCACATTTGCAGTGATTTACCGGTTGTGTTATATACCCTCTCTTATATATGAATAGAAATCTTGCTTACTGCTGCTGATGTGTTATGGCTTTTCCTTATTTAAGGCCATTGAATTTTACCTCATTTTCTTCCACTTATACTCAAGAAAGTTAAGTGTGTAAACTGAATGTCCCAGCTCTGTCCGAGAGAGAAAGTTGGGTGGCATGTTAACCAGAGAAAGCAGTACCCAGCTCTCTCTCTCTCGTCGTCTCTGATCCTAGTTTCTTTTAATCATAATGAGCCCGTTTTGCAGTGCTGTGAACTTCAGCAGATTGACTAGGACTAATCTTCATCACATTATTTCCCAGAGTGTGTTTGGTAGAACCCCAGTCCTGTACAAGTACATGTAATGGTCAAAGGAGTTTGAGGATGGTGCCTTATATTGTACCCCTTTTGGGGATTCACAGTGAATGGCTCTGAAGTTCTGCCCTAAAGAAACTTCTTTTCCTTTGTTAATCATGGTGTTTCTTGATTCTATGAAGCCCATTTAAAAAACAAGATAGAGAAAAACATACATCTAAGAAAACTTACACTTCAGGGAGTACAGTTATCTAATGATGCCTACTTTCCACCCCGACCCTTACTAAAATGAGTTGTTCTTTGTTTGTAAAGGAGATAATGGTTTGAATGAGCAAGCTAAACTTGCCAATTGTATTCTTCCTTTTGGAGAGAATACTCTATGACATGTTATGCCTAAGTGAAGGCTTCAATATGAATGTCTTGGAGTAAGAAGGGATCTTAAAGGTCACCTAAAGCAGCATTGGAGCCTGGGCAAGATTCCCTTGTTCTCTATGAATACCTCTACTTAACCCCCTACCTACTTAATGTGTCAGTACCCTTTTATTTCTCCATTTGAAATAGATCGAAACAAAATATTCACAGGACAATGTTATGTTCTCAGAGTGGTCTCCCTCTAAATTCTGCCTGATGTTCTTTAATTTGGATAGATGGAACAACAAAACAGTAAGTGTATTCCCCAAATCATTTGATACTTCAGGTATTTGAAGCTAACTGGTATTTTTCTTTTAGTTTTCTCTTTTTCCGGCTTAATACACAGGCTCTTTTAACTTTTTATCATGTATAGCTTCTAATTTGTTTCATCCTCCTGGCTGGATTTCTTAGGCATTCTCTAGTTGATTATTGTCTCTCTTAAAATGAATGCATCACATCAAACACAGGGTTCCAGATGTGGTCTGGCCAGTACAAGGTACAATGCAGATGCTAGCTTACCATGTTTTAGAGATTACATTTCTTTGAATATTCATGCAGACTAGAATTGTATTAGTTTTCTTTAAACAGTCACATTACATTTTTGGCGCGTGAGTTTTTGGTCAAGTTAAATTCTCAGATCTTTTTATTTGATCTCAGGCTTTTTTTTTTTTTTCTAAACCACTGTCAAATCAGGTCTTTCTCTTCATTCAGAACTTGATTTTGTTTAATCTAAATGAAGGCCTTTATTTTCATTTATCCTTGTTAAATTTAATTTTGCTGATTTAGGCCCACTTGGTCTTGATTCTGACATTCGTCCTGTGAAGTTTCCATGATCCAGGCTTTGTACTCTCTCCAAAGTCATGCTTATGTCTAAATATAAGTCATTGATAAAAATGTTTACCAAGGGTGGTGTGCCACCCTGCTAGAGGCTTCCTCCAAGGGATGCATCTTTTAATCAACTGCAGAAACTACTTTTCAGACAGCTGCCAGTGTACACTACCAGGAATACCATCCAGCTGCTATTTCATTATTTTATTCATAGAGGTTATTTTCCGAGATTATCATATGCTCACTTGAAATTCATGGACTGTGCTAATTACAATACCCTGATCTATTGCCTGAAAACCTCTTCAAAAGCTGAAATAGTTGAGATGACGTTCACTTGACTTTACTTATTTCCCTCTCCTTCCCACTAGTTTCCCTTTGTTCCCCTTTCTTTCCTTATTGCCTTTTAATGCTCGCAGGATCTTCTTGTCATCCCTTCAAGGATTTTGTTAGGAATTCACATTAGTTTTATTTGACCATTATTTCTAAAATTTTCTTGCCTTTTTTGAAAACGGGAATATTTTGCTTTTAATGTCTTAGCATCTCTCATTTTCCATGATCCTTCTGAAATAACTGACACTACCTTGATGATTATTTCAACAAGTTCCTTTACAATCTAAAAGTGTGGAGCTGGGGAGGGGGTTTACAGGACTGGAGGCTTAAATTTACTTTAGAGCACTTACATGGACTTCTTGAGCTACTATTCCCTTTTTATGTTGATCAAAGAATGTTTGCCTCCCTGGAAAAGATAGTCATGCTTTGATCTGATGGTATATCATTCTCGTGAAACAGTGAGTCCCTTTGTTATTCACACTTAGTAGCAGAAGCTGTTTCTGTGTGTTTTAATAATTTTATGAGTTTCATCTCATTCTGAGCACTACAGGTGTTCCTGGTGAGTATTAAAAATGTTGTCATTAGTAATGTGGTTTGCTTTGTATTTTTGCACACTTCCTTTCTTAAGTTTGAGCCCATCATAAAACATTCCTTTATGGTAGCACTAATTTAGAAACTATGCTCCATTTTTTTTCTGGGAGTGTTAGCAATTATATAGTGAAAATTATAGAGTTTTTCTGTTTGTTTTTAAAGAGTTGTATTCCCTTATAGAAATTTCTAGTCTGAACTTTGTATAATATGTTCTCTTTAAAGTCTAGGCTGGGTCGCCATTTATGCCTTATATAGTTAGCATTTCTTACTCTTCAACGCCCTGAGGTAATATGGTGATTGTCTTCCAGAGTTTCTGACATTTCTCCTTCCCAGCTTGTTCTTCCCTATTAATCAGAATTGAGCCGTTAATATTGTCCTCCTTGCTTTCTGTGCTTCCAGAAAGGCAACATTGGCTTGGTTTGATGGGGCAACTGTAGGACTGTCCGATGTGCCTCCTTTCCCAGCAAGGATTGAGGCAGAACCCACAGACTCCTGTGTCCAGTTCTCACTTCCTCCCTTTCTAGTTTAGATTGTCTCTGGGCAGCGTGAGATTGTCTTCTAGCAAAACCTGATACCGTTCTCAAACTCAGGGTGCTCCCATGTGGAATAAAAAGCTTGTATCTCCAGCCTTTATGCTATATAAAAATATATTTGCTGCCCTGACTTTTTTTAAAAAGAGGCATTTTGACATTTCCTGTCTATTCAATTAAACACTGGCTATGTTACATGATTTTAAACTTTTGAAATGTAAAAGTTTTTTTACTTAAATAGAAGATATCTAAAAATAATAATAAAATTATCCACCAAATTCTATATAGGCAGATCAGAAAGTGTTCGAAGTCATTGACAAGATCATCTTGTTGTAAAATTCTAATTAGATATACACAGGACTATGTGTTAGACGTCCCCCAAATCACCCCCAGTTTTGACAGTTCTCCAGTAGGTCTCATGGCTGTGATTTGTTAAAGCAAAAATACACAAAGCAAAATCAGCAAAGGGAAAAGGTTCATGGGACAAAGTCTAGGGGGGAAAAAAGGAGCCTTCTCCCAAGTGGAGTCAAACAGGACATGCTTGCTTCTTCCAACAACCAGTTAGGACAACACGGGAAGTGTTGCCTGCAAGGAAGCTTATTAGGGACTCAGTGCCCAGGGATTTCATTAAGGGCTGGTCATGTAGGCACCCTCTGCCTAACCTGTTCCAAAATACCAGACTCTCAGAGAGAAAACAAGTGTTCAGCATAAATTGCATTGTTTTTGCCCACAGTTTAGACAGAGTGAACCATTCTTAACAGTTTTGAAAATGATAGGAGCCCTCCCCAAATCCAAGTGGCCAGATGCCAGGCAGGGGTCAGTCTTGCCAGTAGGCCTTCCTAAGCTCAGGCCTGCTCTGTTAATGTGTATCTTCACAGGATCTCATTATCTTCTAATGGAAAAGCAAGGAAAAAGATTAATGGAGTTAAAACATAAAGCTCAGTCTTTAAGTTTCTCCTAGATCTCTGGCTTGATTGTAAGTCAGCTTGGTTTAGTTATATAGATCATAGTGGTCACTTCTGAAATTCAGGAGTACAAAAATCAGAATGCCTGACTGCCCTTCAACATATTTCTTAGTTGTTGCAAAATTCTTGGATAAGATTTTACTTTTGGCAGGGGGCTAGACCTGCATTTGGATAACCTCCTACTTTGCAGGGAGTTTTTCCTGTATAAAGCAATCTCTTAACATTTGTGAACTTCACATTCATTATTTCAGCTGTTTATGAGCCACCCTAAAGGTCTGCGAGATATCGGTTATAATTTTTTTGAGATGTAAATGTGAATGGAACCCCAAAGCCTCTCTGCAGGAGGCAGCCCACTTAGCTGACCACTGAGCCTACTGCCTGTGCTCTGCACATTTCAATACTATTTATTCTTGTTACAGCAGCAAAACTCATCGCTAGTGCTGATGATGCAAGTGTGGACTTCTATAAGATAATTAGAAATAGAACATTTGGATAAACTACACAAGTGGAATTTGACAGTCTTTTAGATCCATGGCATCCCAGTAGCATTTGGAAACAAGAAAACAAGGTTCAGGTGACAATTTTGTGGCATTTCCCTCTAGCACAAAGGTTGCTTATCAAGTGAGCAAACAAGTGAAAAGTGATGGATAATTCATGTAAGGATGGGCACAGGAAACAGCTGCAGAGGAACTGTGGAGGGAAAGCCAGCGCATATGCACAGATTTCATGTGAAGTCCTCACAATCTTCACAGAGGCTGAGATTGGTTCTTCTGCACAGTCATTTCACTTCTTTTTAGTTCACTTGGCTATAAATGTACCACTTTATATAGGAAGTGAATCTGAAAGGCTAAATACTCCACAGGCTATGGCTTATTTTCTTGTTGATTCTAATGAACTTCCTCCAGGTGGACAGCAGTGCCCAGGCCGTGGCCAAAACAGCTCCACAGACCCCACGGATGTGGCTCACATCAATCACGAAAGTTTAATGATCTCTGTAGTTCTTTCCTGTTTTATGAAGCTTTTTTTAAGAAACCATGAGTATCCCTTTTTCTTTAGTTAAATGAGAACTGTTCTATGTAGTGTTTCTTTCACTAAGATATTAAAGGAGCTAACTGCTACTAGCATGAGACGTTTGAAGAACACTGTAGAATGGATAAGTACCTTCCTCACTGACTTTCCTGCCGTTTGAAAATATAAAACTTGCCTTGCCTCAGGTTTTAGCAGAACAGACCTCTCTGAGTGACTTATTAGAGCTGTCTTTTGCGCAGTATATAGGACTCAGTGCCAAATAGGTGTACAGGTGGCCCTTAGTTAATTTCTTCTTCTTCTTCTTTTTTTTTTTTAAGCTCTCTAGCTAGCATTTATCTACTGAGTTTCTTTTCTCCTTAGAGATAAAGGAAAGAAAATCATTGAACATTAGGATGATCACTTACACAAAATTTTTTAGTGACATCTCTCAATTAGTAGTTACCCTAGTGGTTGACTTTTGTCACTGCCCCTCCTGCTAGTAGACATTTAGCTGCTGTGTGGTTAATATTTTCATTTTTATTAAGTAACCACTTGGCAGTTATCACTGAAGTACAATTTATATCCCTGTTCTCAAAATTCATTTTGTTTTAAATAAAACGTAGTGTTAGAAACATACAGATTTTTGTCAGCATTTACCTTTATTCTGGTCAAATGTAATTTACAGAGGGTTTAGTGGAGATTCAAAAAGATTATTAATTTTATAAAAATATTGATTGCTTAAGACCTTGGATTAGCCTGAGTAGACATCTACTAACTGTGATATCCCTTATTTATTTGATGAGTATAATTTAAAAAGTTAAATGAAGGTGAATTGTTGTTGTGAAATAAAAACCTAACAGGTACTTTCTAATAGAATAAACTTAAAATTAATTGTTGGATTTCATGTCTTTTGTCACTAAAGAATTCAACTGGTAGAAATGTTACTCTGTGAAAAAAAAGTTCTTTTCCAAAATGTTCTGTTATTTAAAGTCTCATTTTGTCTCATGTTTTGTGTTAATATCCTAGTGAATCAGTATTAGCTTACAGTACCCTCTGTTTATTGTTGTATTCTTTCTCTCCCTCTTCAAGACTCAATGATGAGGCACGGCGGCTCATTGCTGAATTGGGGAGCACATCTATTACTAATCTTGGTTTTAGAGACAACTGGGTCTTCTGTGGTGGGAAGGGCATTAAGACAAAAAGCCCTTTTGAACAGGTTAGTGTCTTAGACTCTCAGAATTAACAAAAACAAATTCTATGAAACCTTACGGTACATACTCCCATCCCAGCTATTTGAAAATCAGATAAAGCAGATAGTAAATATGATCATATATTTGTCATAAATTCTTGGTAATCAGTTATTTGAAGTAACCATCGTACTTTTAAATTCAAAACTTAAAAATTCTGCACGGGAATATTTTTTCCTGCAGGACAATGCGTTGGAGTAGGATTACCTATCTTAAGCCTTTTAGGAAGCTTTAATTATTAAGGATTGTAATTGAGCTTTGGATTTTAGAATCAGTTAAGTTTGGAAATATTTTAGAACTTAGCAGGATGTATGTGTTAGTTTTTGACTAGCAAATAATCCTTTAAAAGCATCTGCAATGTATTCTTTCAGCTGTTATTTGAAGCTCTGCCATGTATGTGACACAGCCTGAGGGTCACTCATTTAATATCTTCACCAGTAATTTATATGAACTCATTGTTGACATGAGTATTACTGAAATGAGAATGTGTAAAATTTTACTGCAAATCAGCAGTTTACAAAGGTTTGTTAAACTGTGTATTATTACTGTGTTCCAATAGCACATAAAGAACAATAAGGATACAAACAAATACGAAGGATGGCCTGAAGTTGTAGAAATGGAAGGATGCATCCCCCAGAAGCAAGACTAATGGAAATGTGGAGAGAATTGAAGAAAGCGCACTTTCACTGTTAATGGGAGAGCTGTGTGTAAATATTTTAAGAGCATGCAGCCATCTTGGTGTGTGCATGAGTATTGTCTCTTTTGATATCAGGATTATTTATTGCTAACGTAAATAGATAGCATTGTAAATAGTCATCACAATGATCAAATCACTGAACCATGTCTCTGCACATTTCCCTAAAAGTACAGTGTTTAGACTGCTGTGGTAATACATATTTTAAATTCTAAAAGCATACCCAATGTGTAACTGAACAGATCGTGAAAAATATATTGATATATATACTAGTTGCTGTGAAAATATCATGGAATAACATGGATTTTAGGGTGGATACTTTATTTTCTTTTATACCTCTATATATTGCCTTGTGATGACATTATCTTTTAAATTAAAAAGAGATTTGGCTAGAGTTGTGTGTGTAATGTTACTTTACAGCCCGACTCTCCTGATGTACCTCTTTTCATGATCTTTTTCTTTCCTTCCCAAGAAACTGAGGAATGTTTAATATGAAAACACACATTGGATATGTGAAAAGCACAACAAAATTCTTAATGTACACAGTAAAAAGTAAATATATAAATGTAGATGGCATTTAGGACCACAGCTTGCTGGATTTGTGTTAGCTATTGGAATAACTTGATTTTGTATAAGCTATTTAGAGTGAGGCTGGAGGTGGCAGTTTTACAGAACTGGAGAACCAGGCCAAGTCCCCTCCCCAACCTAATTAGGTCATTCAGGACAGCTAAGTCAGTATATTTAGAGCAATACTAGCATATGTTTTTCTTAATTGTTATCAGCATTGACCAAGTGGTTTGGAAGGAGGCATGCTTTAATATCACAATAATTTTGATTTGTAAACCAAGAAATTAATCCTGTGTTTATCTAACTTCATAATAGCAGTTATTGCCTGAAGCTATAGTGGCATATTTACAAAAGTTCTTATTACTGGGTGGACTGATAACATTTAAAAAATAATTGTGTTTGACCCCAAATGACTTTATACCCAATTCTACATAAAAATATAGAAGATCTATCTTTTTTGTTACTTTCAGATGTTCACTAACTCAGTTTTTAAGCAGACGTTTTCAGGGCATTAAATATATGTTGTGTATGAAATATCTCAAACTGGAACATAAATTTAGTGATCAAACTGCCATTCATAATGTAAGGCAACACTTAAATTTCGAACCTAAATTTTAGATGGATTGTATAAAAAATCCTAAAAGCAGTATCTGTTATTTAGCTGTAAACCAAGTTGGAAGCTATTCAGATAATTTCTTAAATATTGATGAACTTTGGAGTACTGTTTCTTCCTTCAAACTGAATGTAATTCATGAATAAATGCACCTTATATGTTTAAACAATTTTTGTATACTTTTGGGATTTTTGGTGCTTATATGCTAAATCACATTCAGCATGTGTATTTTGACATTTAAAATACTTCTCTCAATTCTGTAAATTAAAAGAATAGTTATTTTACAGTTCTAGGGATTGTGAAATAAATGTCACTTTTTAAAAAATAATGAAAATAAATACTCTTGGTTTTGCTTTGTGAATTTTTTTTGTATTATCTAGCAAAGTAATACACCTACAGAACTTCACAAAAACACAAGGTTTTTCAAGTATTTATTATACTAACTTGGGAAAAAATTGTTGCTGTGGTTAAAAATAGTAATATCCAAATGTATCTTAACATGTAAGAAGTTAAGTAGATGGCAGGGAAAGCCCTTTTATTAAGACTGTAAAAGGATAGATTTTCCAGATATATAAAATGTCAAAAGAAGACAAAGATTGGTTATGTAACTGATGTGGTTTCCTTTTGTCTCAGTTCAATCTTGTATAGATTGTGCCAACTTAACTTGAAAGCAATAACTTTATACTACATTTTCAGATACCTCTTTAAAATCGGTTTTAGACATGAAACAGTGCTCATTTAATGTTAAGAATTTTCTTTGTTAAATTAACATTGACATAGTTTTGAAATGGTGCTTATGGGCTTATCAATGCATATTTTTTATTTGTAATCCGATGCTGTCCCAGAATAAGTGTATTGTAATATGAATGTTAAAATTGAACAGAGACAGCAGGAAAATAAGTGGTATTTGGGAAATTAAAGAAAAATTGAACCAGAGTCTTTATATTCCTGAATTTAATTGGATTAATGTGAAATTTATCATTGTTCTTTCTATATTTGACTTGTTTTTAAGTGAATCAGCTGTTTTATAATTTTGTGACAGATCAAAGCTGAGTTCATTTAGCCTGTATTGCTCTTTATACTTTAAAAATAATTTACATAAATTATAAATAACCTGACCAACAAAGTTATAATTTCAGTTGGGTCAACAAATTGTCCCTTAATTGAATGCAAAATGTGCCGTGTTCAGTTAGTAGAGCAATTAAAAGTGGAAATTCATTTAGAATACTTTTTCAAAGGAATATGAGAGAAATTGCTTGTGTTGATTAGGGAGAAGATTTGCCATTTAAACCTCTTCAATTATTTCAACCTCTTGAACAGCAATAAATCCATGTAAATTTAGAGCTATAGAGTAACAGATTGCACCTTTGCATTCTTCAAAAGGATTCTCTCTTCAGAAAGATTTTTCTACCACATACTTGATTTTTGATGATCATATGCTATAACTAGTTAATTTCTATTTCCCTCAAAACTCTCTCAATTTAAGCTTTTCTCTGCTTGCTCCTTATTGTGATCCTTTTTTTTTTGAGTTTCCAGTCAAAGGCTAGATGGAGTGAAAAGTAAGCAGGCTTCGAGAGGGAGTGTCAGTCATTTGTTGCTAGAGAGCATGAAGAGAGCATCAAAGGATGGTTCAGGCAGCATGGTAAAAGCCCTCCAGGGAATCTAAGAGGCTCTTCTGCCATCAGAACCTTCCTCCAGGCCAGTGAGGGAGCAGACACCTTGAGGGAAGCTATACTGGGGAAACACTTGGAACAGTTAGATCTATCTCTTCTATGAGTGGTCAGAAAGGAAAAGGGACTGGGAAGTTCTCAGGTTAAAGACGGAAGAGATGTTTCTCTTGGGCTTGTCCCATGGCAGTTTATAAGCAAAGTTAGCATGGGGAAGACATCTTCGCAGTACAACTAGTTCACGGGTGCAACTTGTTGCCATTACTAACCTCACTGTTCAGCTCTGCATCAGTTGTGCCAACCACTGGGGTGCATTTAATATTGAAAGAACAATCTGAAGCTAAATTGATAAAAGATACTTCCTTTAGTCAGGGAAAATTGACTTACAACCTGCAAGCTCATAATGTTTCATATAGTCTGCCCATATTTCCTTCACTTGATAGCCAAAGAGAAAAAGGGCTGAAAAACCTTTAAAAAGGAGAGAATTCTGTAGTGGGGAAGACAGTGTGGCATAGTGGTTAAGAGTGCAGACTTGCCTGAACATTCGTCTCTTCCACTGTGAACTACTTGAGGACTTTGAGGAAGTCAGTGTCCACCTGTAAAACAGGGATAATACCAGAATGTTTGTGGTGCCTACCAAAGTGCCTGGCACAAAGTACTCATTCAGTGCAACTGCTAGTATTGCTGTTATTAACCATGTGTCTTCCAGGCATCTTAGCCCAAAAGACGATGTAACAAGTCAGCCTCTCTAGCTTTCCAGTCCCATCATAGCCAGAAGGGAGCCATTAGATGACTTGAGCAGTAAGATCATGGGAGAGGATTCATTCATCTCTTCACCTGAGTTTCTCCTTGACCTCCAAACCTCTAACTTCATATTCTGCCTGCCTTTTCACTTATTACACATTGACACCAACTCCCCTTCATAGGTAGAATTCAGGCTTTTGTGTATCTCCAGGTAGCTAACATTTTAAATCGTTAGTTTATCTCCATGTATTTTGGTGTATCTTCAGGTAGCTAGCATTTTTAATGGTTCTACTTGATTGCTGGTCTGGCCTTTAGGGGAAAGTATGTGACTTAAGCCAAAGAGGCTGGGAGCCCTTGCTGACCTCTTCTTGTGGCAGCAGCTGGTTGATGAGCCTCACTAGAGAGTGCAGACCTTGATCCCTGCTCCTAATGACCTCACCACCCCAATTCCCGCTGCAGGGCAGGGTGGCATCTGATCACAGTGGGGAAGATGCTGGGGCTCAGCTGGCCCTCTCTGACGCAGAACAAACTCAACAGTGAGGCCAGTGACTTCCCCACCAAACTGTAGCCTCCTATATCACCCATGGAATAAGATGGCCGATTTGGACATCTAACTGTTGAAAAGAATTGCTCTGTTTTCCATAAGTATATCCCTCAAAGCAGAGGAGACTAATGCTCACCCTTGGGAATCTTGTCTTTTAGCAAAAAAGCCCAGTGTGAGCCTGTGAAATTCTCTGATTGTAAAACTTCACATGAATTTTGCATTTTTTTTTTTTATTATTTACAGATGTTGGTATTAACATGGAAATCTCAAATTATTTTAAATTTCAACTCCAAAAACTACTTAGCTTGTGTGTGCTCTGTTTTTTGGAAGGCTGGTTACAGAAGTATTATGTGCTCTATTTGGCAAGAACAGAAAGGAATCCCAAGGAGAATGCATTGTGAGTCCAAGCTCTGAGAAGAGGAGAGATTTAAAAGCAAATGATGGTTGGGCTATGGTTAGAAATATGTTGGGTTAGTGAGTGGAGAAGGCAGTATTCCCTGAGAGTTGTGGTTTTCAGTGGGTAGAAGTGGGAGAATCAATTGGTGAGGATTTCCTTTAGTGTAAGGAATGAGCAAGAACTGGGCCTTAAGTCCTGCCTCCTCCTCACCTGGGGAGTGCAGCCTGCCCCAAATGACTTCCTGTTCTCCCTTAGGGAAAGGACTTAAGATTTAAGGTAAGTGAGCTCATCCCTACACTTCTATGGAAATCTGAAACTTTTGACCAAGAATGAGATTGACAGCTAATTCTTGTGGAACTGTTAAGACCTTACAAAAGGGTGTTAAAGTTATGGAAATAGTCTGGATTAGGTTCCCTGTGGTTTTAAAGCACTGGGTGTGTTGGATATAGGCACAGTCACAGGAATTGTGGCAAGTGAAATTTTGAAATCATTCCTACATTTTAAAATATAGTTTCTCAAAAAATGATGAATTGGGCATTTGGGGAAAGCAAAACAACTTTAAGCCAGTGAAGGAAATAATTTCTCACACTGAGAACTGAAATGTATCTTTCAGTTTGCAAAGTTCCTGTACCCATTAAGTAGGGGACATGTTAGGATTTATCCCATTCACTTCTGCAGGTTTCCCATTTTGCTATTGTGTCCTGTGCTATTTCTTGTCTTGCATAGAGCCTTGTTTGCCAGGGAGTTTGAGATAAAACAATGACAGTGGATAGGACTAAGAGAAAGTAAAGATTATGTACTGGAAATACATAGGTAGTTATTGATTTCCATTTTGTATATCTGCACCTTTCATTGGTTTCCAGAGAATTTGAGGTGTATTTAAATGTACTAGTATATTTGGTGATACTTCTCTCACCAAAGAGTAATTAGGGGCAACAAGGATCTGCCCTTTCTTCTTGGTTAAACAGGGCCAAGTAAATGTGGGCCATGATCATGGGTGTCAGGTGGTTACTAAAATGTAGAAGGAAAGGCTTCTTGGCCTCTGTGGAGTAGAGTTACCGTGATGGTTCTGAATGGCCATCTGACAGGGAAAAAGGCAGCCCTCAGCCACTGCCCTTTGTGCCTTTCCAATTCACATACACGAATCAGATGCTTTTACTTACTCTGCGAATTATAAAGTCACACATGAAACTTTAGTTTGTGTTGACTTGATTCTCCTTTATTACTTTACAAGAGAGGCCACTTTTGCTAGTATGATTTTGTTTCAAAAGGTTTTAATCTGGTGCAAACCACCTCTAGTGGTTTTCCTTTGGATATGAATGTAAACCATTACAAATAGTAAATTTTAATCCATCTTTTAAAAATAACACCTTATGTAACATTTGGCTGTAAGCACAACAATAAAAAGGATGTATTTATTTTATGTCACACTAAATTAGTTTGATCTTTCCCCCTAGTTATTTTCTTTTGGAATGGTTGTTAGATTCTTGCACAATCCAACTGTTAACCACACTGCAGTCTAAAATAGAAGTCAGTGTACGTCACTTTGGGCTTAGTAATCAAGAGGCAGTGTATTTTAATTTTATTTCATAGTAAATTCTAAGATCTCAGCTCTCCCATCACTTCGCTCCCTACTTTTCAACCAAGTTTATATAACCAAACCATGAAGAACATCCTGTAACTTTCATTACATTCGTAAATCCCCTAAACTCTTTAAATGGCATATGTTTGTAAACACAGTCTGACAATTTTGATACTGTGAGAAGCGCAATAACAGTGTGGTGGTTAAGGGCACAGACATTGAAGCCAGATCATTTTGTGTGACCTTGGGCTGGGAACTTACTGTGTGTCTCAGTTTCCTCGGCTGTAAAATGAAAACCACAATAATGTACCTACTTTAAAAGGTTGTTGTGAAGATTGAATTTTTATATGTATCTCTCTATATATTTTTTACTTAGACTAATACGGGTATATACTAAGTGCTATGGAAGTATTTGCTAATATTATTT